CCCAGGAAACATTGTTAATTTTTAAAACTGGTTCTTTTTGTCATAAATTTATGCAAATAATCAATAGTTTTTTTAAATTTTGGGCAGATCTTTGACTGTGGCCATTGTCACAAAAACGAGTGTGTATCCACAGAAATGTTACATCTTAGGTTTATTCTTCAACAGCTGTCTTCAATAGCAACCAATATATATTTTTTATTTAAAATATAAAAAATAGGTGTATAATTTTAAATTTAGGAGGAATTAAATTAAGAGAAAAAATGAAAATCAAATAGTATGTACAAAAAAAAACAAATAGTACAAAAGTTCAAACGCATGGAACATTTCGTCTCGTTACGTCATGGTTTTGTGTGGCCAATCACAGCGCGATGATGCGCCGCAGTTGGACAAGAAGCTGTGCATACGCAATGAGAATAAATTGCAATGATACCGGCGCTTACATAAAATGTCTAATTGAGTTATGAATAAGCAATATATTCGACGTACATACAATGTACTGCGCATCATTGTCAGCCGTAATAGAATATGCAAAATATCATTAAATCGGTCATTTGATAACAATTTATTTTTCTTTCTTACATCCGACATGAAATACGTTGATTGCTCAAGGAAACACAAAAACAGATATACGTTGATTGTTCAAGAAACGCAAAAACAAATGTATGGTATAGCAAGCACATTCAAAATGAAATTAGAGAAAAAGTCTCAAAAGTTCTCTTTTTTTTAGATAGGATAAAGTGTATAATGATTAACCACTTAAGTGTGCTGAAATTTAATATAATCATTATTAAAATTATTTGAAATTTGAATTTAATGCAAAGCGAACGATAAGTAAGAATTCAAAGAATATGTCAAATACCAAAAACTTTGAATAAGATCATGTTTTTCATTTTTTCCAATAATAGAAATTTTTATTCAGAAAATAATAGTTATTGATCACAAGTTTTACAGTTATTGAACAGAAAAATAACAGTAATTGACCATTAGTATGAAAATCATCAAAATGAAAAAAATTCAGAAAATAAAAAGGAGATAAATTTAATAAAATTCCAAGTATAAGACAAGGACTCATTGTTATTTCAATATTCAGGTTATCTTTTCTAAATTTAAGTGTTGATTTAAGTACGCCATAGATTCGTGCCGCTTCATTCAGCCTTTTACGAACGGCATCTTTAAATGCCTCTTGAGTGTATTTTATTACTTTAGGCATTTCGATGAAAAATTAAAATCTACAATATTATAATATTTCAAAATAGTAATTTTATTCATAGAAAATAATATCTAGTAAATAATATATAAATTATACTGAATGGTCAATAACTGTAAAAAATGAATTTCTTTCTCAATTATAATTATTGATCTTTTCATTTTCGTAATTATTGCCTGAATTAAAAATATAAATATGTAGAAGATATTCATAACCTTATATTAGCGATATATGATAAAAAAAGTTATATTATTAATTATTTCATAAAAATATAATTTATCTATTTGAATACGTATGCTTAATTGAACTGTAAGTATTTCTTAATTATGTATTACAGTTTTTCTTGCAAGTTCAATTTACGGAAAGTAAAAGCGGATTATAAATTGAATCTTTTATTCATATATGAAGTTAATAAAAATCAGTTATAATTATTATGTTGTGAAATTAACTGTTAATTTGACTTGGATTTTTTTAATATATAGACAAATCCATAGCAAATTCAATCACTGTATCGTATGGTCAATCTGTACTTTACTTATACTTTACATATACTTTTACAGTCAAATGTACTTTAATTTTACAAAGATAAATGTATTTAAATTTCTGATATTCGTAGTTACAGATATTTAAGATCTATTATCTTTGTGGCTAAATCAATGTATTGTTGTAAATAAATATCTATATATTTGAAATTTGGTGAAAGCGAGATAACAGTTTTAATACAGTCTAATGATAAATACAATAATAAAGAACAAGCCTCTTATATTCGAGATCTTAAATACTATCTTAAGTACTATCTTACTCTAAAACACTGTACAATCACTTCAGTGACTGGTTGACAATTTTGAGATTATCTATAACTATAAGTAATTAAGTGATTAAATGATTAATATCCCTTTTTCATCATTATAGATTAAATTTAATCTCGGTTCATCTTACTCTTCATCTTTTATAATTTTTAAAACTAGAAAAAGATAAAGAATTAATTGAACTAAAATTAAATTGTTGCGGAATTGCTGGTGAAAATGAATTAATGTAAGATCTAATTACAGCAACATTCAGTTTTGAAAATTTATAGCATACATCATTTAAAAGTTTGGAGCATTCTATAATTTTTTAAGATAAAAACACGATCTTTTACAGATATAATTATCTTACTCGAAATATCTCTATTTTTAAATATTTTAAAATACTTTTATTTTTTAATTTTTATTTTTGAATCTATTGGAATCTATTGGAACTCTTGCAATAAAATTTATAATTAAAATAAAACAAACTTCTGTACATTTACAATGTTAAAATAGTTTTTAAATCTGATTAAATCTTTTCAAAATTTAAAGATGCCCCAAACTTTTGAGAAGCAGCATACGGTTCACTATAGATTTTCAATATATTAGGTAAAAAGAAATCCATTATTTTTGCATGAAATTGAATGGAAAAATAATGGATTTCTTTTAACTACACCTAATATTAGCTATGAATATTTAAACATAACCTTTATAGAGTAAATTCAATCATTTATGCCTGATTTATGCTTCAGTCTTAATCTTAGTCTTAGAATTAATAATTCTAACTTAATCTTAGGACTAAAGTTAAAAGATAGGAACTTTTTTAAGACTAAAATTAAGACTATGATTAAGACTGGGAAAGCATAAATGATCTTATGGCATTCTTTATTGCCAACTTTTAAGACTAATTGTAAAATTAAGACCGAAGTATAAACTAGGCATTACTCTATGCTATATAAGATATTTTTTTATATTAAAAGTAGTTATATAGTAGAAATTATAGAAAGTTAATTAAATATAAAAGTATGTAAATATTTTAAACGATTAACTACTTAATACTTAATAATGTTATCTTGTTATTTAACAAACTATACATGTATTATTTCATTATCAAATTTTATTATATTATACTACTACATTTAAATATTATACATATTTACAATGTATATGTATATGTATAAAGTAGTCTTTAATAATGTAGTGCGAGTGTGTGATTGAATTTACCATTAGAATGTCGCTCTTAGAAATCCATTGAAGTATACGTTTATTTAAACGTGTGAAATTTAAAATATATTTCTCAAATTTTTGTAAGTATATTTTACATTTTACAATTTATTTTAAATAGGTATATATATATATATATATATACAAATAAAATAAATAATTCAATATTTAAATACATTTATTGTAAAAAAATTAGCATTTTTTAAAGTATCTCAAGAAATCAACATAAAGAATAGCGTCTTTTGTACCAACGTAGTTTTATAATGCTTGTAAAAGATTCTAGAATTAAAAAAAAGAAGCTAGAAGATATATATATATTAATAAAATCGATGTGAAGAAATGCCGTCGTTTCTTCACCGAGCTTTATTGATCGACATCGCGAAAAGAGAAGTGCGCAGATTATTTAATTCATGTATTTAGACTAATTTGCAGATCGTATCGATAAAGTTCAAGATTGAATGACGCCGAGTTATCGACTTACTGCCCCCCCCCCCCTTCTCATCCTCCCACTCCTCCCTTTTCTCTTTCTCGCTGTATCACGATTCTGCGCATAACGCGAACGATGAGAGAGAAAAACGAGAAGGTCTGAAATTAATTTGTTTAATTCGGAGCCAGATGGCTCCGAGTATGCTCGTAATTATATGCGTGTAAATTTTTTCAGCAAATTAGAAAAATCGAACCTCTTTAGATTGGAGAAAATTCCATTATAGAACATCGAAGTTAACGATGCACTAATTTACGGATTGCCGCGCCGGTCGCCGGTTTTAATCAATCTAGAATTAGCATCTCTTTCAGATTACGATACGTCGCTATATAACGTATAATGGCGGAGGCGGAGAAACGAGCATTAAGATGGATATGTCAGTTAATATTAGAACGATCGTGGATGGGGCGTGGCGGCAGCGATTAATTTTTATTAAAAATTCACATATATCAACAATCGATCAGTCCTCTCAAAATAGAGAAAGAAAAAGACAGAGAGGAAGAGGTCAATCGGCAGGATGTGGAACGCGATAACGAGAGAGCCATTCAATCGGACCTATGTATATACACGTGAAACGTCATCGGTCACGGCCGGCTGCGCCTTGGAAAAAAAAAAAAAAATCCCGGACATTCCAGCGGAGCGCTCGACCGTCCGTTAAACCGAACGAGGAGTGGAGATTCATCCACGTGAACTTAAAAAAAATCGGCCATCGACGATACAACATAGTACAACAGTAGGATCACGTTGAATCTCGTCGTGCGTCACACGACGAGGTATAAGTGTCTCTTCGTCGATGCGCAGCGACACCGTCGGTTAAACGCAATGAGCAAGAGTCGAGGCTTCCTGCCTTCCTCCTCGGTTTCTTATTCGTCCTACCAGCGTCAAGCTTAGGTCGCGTCAGTCGCGTCACGTTGCCGCGATCATTGCGGGCGCAGTTGCAGTAAATTGCAGACGTTGCAGACATTGCAGTCAGTTGCAGCTTGCAGTCGCGACGCGATCGGAATTGCACATGTGCGCGCGCGCGCGCGCGCACTCTCTCCGTTCTGTCTCGTTCTCTCACACTTTCCTTCTCTCTCGCACGCGCTTCGGGAAACGAGAACCGTGAGAACGAGTAGACTGCACAGGGTAGATCGATGGTGTGCGATCGCGGCCGTCCGTACGCGACATCGTGTCCCGTCCGGCTTCGTTGCGCGCGGCGACCCGCAGCGTCGGACGGAAGTGATCGGCCGAGAGGAACAATCGGCGACGTGCAGCCTAAGCGCTAAAGGCTGAAGGCTCTCGTGCGCCACCGGTTAGTTCGCGATGTGTCTCATCCACGTTTCTCCGTCGCGTTGCGACGCGCGCTAATTACCGCATTAATTACCGCGTTGCCACGATGAATTGACACATCTGTCGTCAGCCGATCGTTGAAAAACGTGGCGACGCACGTTTCGCGTAGCAGTGAATACGACGAATGTAAACACACTGCTGCCTGTCTCGTGCGCGCGGCATTTCTTCCGAGTTCCGACGCGTGTCAAGCACCGTTTCCACGGCGGTAAACTCTAGCCATGTCTAGTTAGATGGACTATGATAGACTACGTTCGTCAGCTTTGACGTGGAAGGATGTAGCGCGTGTCTTTATGTCAGGTTAAAATTGATGACATACGAATCGTCGATCCTAAATTTTACAATGAGCTCACAACCGATTGTGGTGCCTGGTGGAGAGCATCGTCTTCAGCCGGAGACTCATTCTGTACCTGTTGGAAGTTCAGCGGACACCTACAAGACCATGACACCGCCAAACGTCAGCAGATCCTTAAGTCGTAAGTGTTACTTTATTTATGTCTTATTATTGTATTACATATTGTATTTTCACATTTTAGTAAGAACACGTCAAATATGCAATGATGCCAAGATGTAAATTTGATTGTTACAAGACACTGATGTTATTATTGATGATTATTTATGTGTCTTACTCGTTATTTAATTGTAACGATTTAATTATTGATAATTAGCTCATAAGAAAATTGTGAAACTAAGAACAGCTGTTGAGTACTTACAAAAATATGAAATTGTACAAATTATTTCGTATTAAAAATATGAAATAGGGAAATATGAAATTAAAAAAGTCTCATAATTGTACATATGTGTGTGTACATATAAATATACACAAGGATTATGTATTTCCTAAAAAAATTTATGAACTTTATGATACTATTTTATTGTAAGAACTTTGTCATTGACTTCTGAACTATATCAATTAAGAACAGGTAGATGTAATTACATGCATGTTTTTGCAAAACTCTTTCCTGTTATTAGTAATCTCAGATTCAATAGATTTATGTAACACTCACAAATTATATACAATTTCTAATGTTTACATAATGTCTACCTTTATATACACAGGTCAGAGTATTTATTTTTATGTATTATAGTTCAGTATTTATAAATGTATAATTTTCTTTAACATGCATTTATTTTTTTTTTAAATCTTAACAATCACATTTTCCTAAAATATTTTAGACATTCAATAATGTTTTTTAGGAGAAAAAATAAAAATAATATACTATAATTTAATACTTTCAATATTTCTTTAACACATGTGACATACATTTAGTTATAATATAAATTTTATTAAAGTAATATTTATATATTGTTTGTGTGTCTCCCTTTTGTAACAGATTTCATATATGAAATGCTTAGTAATCCTGACAATATATCAGATGTACACTTATAGTAGCTTATTAATATGAATGAAATACATACTGTAGCACATCTGGAAAAATGGAAATCAATACTTGAGAGTGAAACAAACCATTTCTCATATTATAGTAGGAATCCCTATTCTGTTATAAGCACTGTAGTTAGTGTGGATAATAACTCCTTCTTTACTCACTTTTCTATACTGGTTTTGTCCTGCCATATACAATACAATCAAGACAATGTGTAACTTTACATTGATTATTATAAACCCTTGGATGAAATGCAAAGGTTCAGTTGGTGTTCTGGATAATATTTTTCACACAATGAGTCTCTTTATTAAACATTACCATTTTGTTACTCTGTATACAAAACACGATATACAGAATATAAAACAATAGAAAAAAAAACGTAGTGTGGAAATTATGTTTGTACAAGATATGCAAATATATTTAAACTACTTTATTAATAATAATTTACGTACACTAATATTTCTTGAAACATTTATTGACTTATTATGTATTATTGATTATGTTATTCTGAGAATAATGTTTAGTTCTTTTTTTGTAAATATTCGGTATGTAATTTGCTTGGCTGCATGAAGTAATATGAAGCACGTTCTCAATTGCGCATGTATAATATAAATTAAGCATGCATATCTTTTTTCTTCTTTTGTATACATATATGCAACAAGGTAGACAAACATGCAATATCTCTCATTTAACTGCAGATTAATCGCGTGTTTTTGCAACTCTCATCTTGCCATCACATATAGGATAATAATACGACATTATTTTTATTATTACATGTGTAATGTTATTGTTAATATTATCTATTTGTAACGTAGAAAATTAAATTCTTGCTGTCTATACTGTTGACTAATCATTGAATAGTTCTTCGAGAAACGATTTTAATGTGACGTAAGATGTGATAATAAATATTGAATGCAATTGAATGAGTGCTAAATATGTAGAACCAGCGGATCGACAACTTCGAAGAAGCAGCGTCCAAGCACAGTCTACACCATTACCTAAACTTCCATCAACTGAGTCCCTTGCAACAAGCATAAATATTACAGCCGGTGCACCTCCAGTTTCTCCAGGTATAAATCAAGAAATATTTTCGAAAGTAATATATCATTGCTATAGTTTGGGATAACTCTGAACAATTACAAGTTACAGTTTTCCAAACTTGATTAATATTATAGGCTTTTATTTTTGCAACATAATGAATGCATATATGCTAGAAAAATTCTGAAATTATGTATGGCTTATATAGCTCTTCCTTAACGTTTATGTTTGCGTCTAGTTTCAATTTTCTTTACGAATTGTAAACTGTATAGTAATGTCATTTAATGCTTATGGTCTGCACTTTACATGATGCTTGTAAGGTAAGCTTCAGATACGCAAAAAATGTAATTAATATAGTAATACAAAAAAAGAACATACATATTACATTGACCTGATTATATAACTCAGAGTAACTCGATAATACAAATGTTACGTCACATTTTATTGAACTGTTTTATAAAATTTGCATAAAATTTAATTATCTTTTTTGATAGAGGATACTTATTTTTTAGTAGAAATCTGGCATATTGCATGTGTCTTAAAATTTAATTTTTAATATTAAATATCTCTTTGTAAAGTAGTATAATATTTTTTTTAAGCATGTTTTTTGTTACATAATATCTAATTGTCTTGCAGATTCGAGAATTGATACATTAAATTTTTTTATATTTTAATAATTATATTTAAATTTGTAACTAGATTGCACAACCTAAATTCTAAATAAAAATAAAAATTTAATTTAAAATAAAAAAAATTATTAAAACGTAACAAGATTTGATGCAAATCTTGCAAAACATTCTATGTGTTATGCATATATTAACATAATGGATATATGATTTAATATAATAATAATATTTCGAAAATTGATTTTTGTACTGTATACGATTTAAAATAAATATATTGTATATATGTCGAATCAGTAAATAAATACTGTCTGTTTAAATAGTAAGAATAAATAACTTAATATTGTATAAATATAATTTATTTATATAATAAACTCGTAAAACAAATCAAGATAGTAAATTTTATTAGAGTAGAGCGGGGCTTTTTCGTCCATTTCTCACGATAATGTTTATATTTCTGAATAGAATTTGTTGATGATTTAAAAATTGTACTTGTGTGCTTTCAAGGATTATGATTGTATAATGTAATTATAAGCACGTCATTGCAAAGAAATATTATTTGCTAAATTTGCTAAATTTCGTAAATTTTTATATTACTTTAAAGTTGAAATTGACAGAATAGCCCCGCCCTACCCTATTACATTACATATTGTTGAATATTATTACATTATCTTTCTTTTTTGTGAAACACAAATTTTTGCAAATTTTACAATTATTCGCTTCAAATATGAAACATATATAAATAGAATACTGATTATTTAAACTGTCTGTTAATAAAAACTAATGTTAAATAAATTAAATATGAACTGAAAATTTTAAATTAAATAGATTATCTTGTTTTGTTTATGATGTAGTTTATGATGTAGAAAAAATAATATCTGTGTAACTTTATATTAGATTCTATTTTAACTAGAATTAGATGAATATATAGAATTCCATGCATGTATATAAGACAAATATGGAATATTTGTATATATTTGCATTGTTTTATTATAAAGATCGTCATTCCTTTAATTATTTTAATAATCTGTAAGTATGCATTATTTTTATCTAAAAATGCCACACTTAGTTTTGTCTTATCCTTTATTTTTAAATTATTAAGTTTGATTTTGTAATAAAAATTGTAGACTTGTTCATTTGTTAAAATATATATTTGTAAATTATAAGTGTATATTAATAAAATAATTATGCAAATAATATATACCAGATATATCATGTATAAAAATTAATATAATTTAATTTTAAATATCCAGATTAGATTATTTATGAACTGAAGTACTTATTGTAATGTATGCACTGTATTAAAATATTTATATAATATACATTGTGTATACGGTATATTAAAAATAATATATTATAAAAATTTTGTTTAATCTACTAAAACTAAAAATTTTTTGAGAATAAACTCTACGTACACATTCTATTTCGGCACGCTCTAATTCGCCTAATTACGACTGTACAAAGTATAATTATAAAAAAATAATTCAAAATTATGTATGTTATAGGGATCTCTGGTATGGGCGAAGGTAGTCAAAAAATGGATAATTCATCAGACAAGGTAAATAATTCTGTATTCTTGAGATACAATTTCTTTGTTTATTAAAGCTAGAAAGCTCTCAGAAATAAATTTTTGCAAAAGTTGACTGCAAGTTTTATTGGCAAAACAGATTTGATGCGTAACTTTTTTTATTCAGCAATATTTGTTTTTAAATCGTATAATCAGTAAAAATAATTATTCTTTTATTTATTTTTACAACTCTATTTTTACTTCATTTTTATTGAAACGACAAGATATAATTTACTTTAATTTGAACTTATATTTTTAATGAATAATATTTTTAGTCATTAGATTCTTGCAAATTAACGCGAAAGGAATCGTATAAGGCTCAAAGAAAGAATTATCGAATGGAAAAAAAAAGAGTAGCCGATGAACTTTTAAGTTCTTTCAAAGATCCAACCGTTATTGTTATGAGTGATTGGTTAAAAGTTCGTGGCACATTGAAAAGTTGGACCAAGTTATGGTGTATTCTGAAACCTGGATTATTGCTGCTGTACAAAAGTCCAAAAACGAAGGTTTGTATTTGCATTTCTCTTTTCTTTTTAACTCTTTTTTTAACCTTTCTTATTGTATCTGCGATATTTATTACAGAGTAATCATTGGGTTGGAACGGTACTACTCAATACATGTCAAGTTATAGAACGTCCGAGTAAAAAAGATGGATTTTGTTTTAAATTATTTCATCCGTTGGAGCAATCTATATGGGCTCCTCGAGGACCAGAAAAAGAAGCTATTGGTATATATCTCTATCATTATATACATTATACTGCTTTTGTATAGCAATTTTTTTTGCAATATATTAATAGATAACATCTATAATCTAATCTTTAAATATAATAATGAAATATATGTATGTATATCTGAGCGTGATTAGTTCTTACCTATCAGTCTTAAATTCTGTGATTTTTTAAAATTTCTATAAAAGAATGTCAACATTTGTGGAAGTTCTTATGTTCCTCTCTGTAATGATGAGATATTGCATATATGTCTCTATATATATATATATAT